AACCTTTTGCAGAACAGTGAGTAATGGACGCCGTTTCAAGCAGCCCTGCGGAGGTGCCCGAGGATGCACGCTTCAGCCATGTTCGCTCGTGCGTCTCAGTTAGCTATACTTGTGTGTTTCGACGTGCAAAGCATTCAGGTATACGCAGCGGGGTCAACACAATATAGCTATCGCGAACGAGCATCAGCAGAGAAATAGAACACGTTTCCTGCTTGCCAGGTTATTTTTTGCGCCTCCAGATAGCCCCATCTATCCAACTTCTCGCGGTTAACACAGCATTACACTTTTACGTGGACGCGAAGTCTACAGATTAACTAAAATTCAACTATACCTGCATGTTACTTGTTAGCAATGATACCTGAGTATACGCTGTTCCACTTTTGATAGCTTGTGGTTGCGTTGATGTGTAACGCATACGTAATATGAAAGGACACCCTCATTGCGCTTTTTCTGTGCTTCGAACTAGACGACTGCAACTCACCTGCAGCTCACAACGATTTCCTAACATGCTGACCGACAAGCCCACATTTGATTATGCCCTTTTTTTCGCCGTTATTTTCAATGTGGTTTTTTTTCTTGATAATTTCACTAATTAATTCAAACCGGTGCGACAAAGATTAGACGAGTCGAGCGAGTGCATTTCTGCGCTTCGGCGCCAGTCGGTGCCACGATAAGAACACTCGGATCATACACGTCATCACTACTAGGGCATCCTCACTCAGGATGGTATTTGCGGAATGTATCACACTGAACACGTAGTACTAATGTCGATGTCGCAGGGCAGTCTATTTTCTGCTTTTTCTCCTTAGCTTTTCTATGCTGTTTGACATCGAATTAAAAAAACCTCCACGCCGTGGATGCTGTTTAAATTTGGCCAAGAAGATTTTTGTATACCAAGCGATCGAATGACGGGCACATCTCGATCTTGAAATTTGTTGTCAGTGCTCCTTTAAATTATGAGTGCGTAATGTAGACAAATACTGAGACAGGGACAAGCACCTTCTACCGACTGAAAGTTTAATCTAACAGCTGTAACAAATATGTACCGACAAATAAAGATTATGTAGGAACAAAGAAGAGCATACCAAAAAAACAGTAAAAATCTATAAAACATAACTGTACATAACGTAAACATAAAGTACATAACGCTTGTACTGCGTCTGCAACTGCCCTTAGTCCTTGCCTACGTTATGCGCTCGTATTTCAAGCAATCACAATTCACGAACACGCCTTATCGGCCATTTGCCAAACATGTACGCTTTTAAAATTCGTACACAGTAGCATTACTTCCGATGTACTTCTTTCACTAACGCTTTGATCCGCACGACGCTTGATCCGGTCGACTTGACGCAGTTCTCTCTCTGGATGGTGTACAATACCCGAGTGGATGCTCTTGATACGAGCTTTCATGTACACGATCGTGAAGATCGTTTGAAGTAAAACTCGTATAAAGGGCATCCATTAGCTAATTGGTCGGGCTCCATGTTCTCCAAGATTAATGTTCTTGAGTTTCGGAGGTTTTGGTAGATTGATATGTGGGGTTTAACGTCCCAAAACTACCATCTGATTACGAGAGACGTCGTAGAGTAGGGCTTCGGAAATTTTGACCACCTGGAGTTTTTTAACGTGCACCTAAATCTAAGCACACGGGCCTACAGTATTTTCACATCCATCGAAACTGCAGCTGCCGTAGCCGGGATTTGATGCTACGACCTGCGGGTCAGCAGTCGAGTGCCTTCGCCACTAGACCACCGCGGTCGGGGTGCTGTTTCGGAGGGTGATTTTTTGGAGTTTATTTTGTAAGATGCAAATTCGGCGTGTGTCGGTGTTTATTTTTGTAAATATCATATTCTTCTATATTCCGTGTTTAAATTGCATTGTACGTTTTCGCAATGTCTGCCTATTTATACCTATTTTTTATGAAAATACGTTGCAATTTCGTTTTTTTATCTTTTCATACTTTTTTACCCTTCCGTTCAATAACGCTGCTAATAAAGCTGTGATATGCACGGCTGTGAACTCACCAAGGTGTATTGTATTCTTGGGGGAGCTCGAGCTGATAAAGCTGCTTCTTGTGAACTCACCAAGGTGTATTCTTGGGGGAGCTCGAGCTGATAAAGCTGCTTCTCCCAGCCTCACTCTTATTCTTGATGAAAAATAAAAAGCTTGTTTATATTATTAACAACAATATTATTATTATTATTATTATTATTATTATTATTATTATTATTATTATTATTATTATTATTATTATTATTATTATTATTATTATTATTATTATTATTATTATTATTATTATTATTATTATTATTATTATTACTTCACCTTGATCTTCCGGACTCTTGCTCCTTGGTCTGGTCCTATCCTGCCCTCTGGTGCCAATGCTCAGCACCATCAGCGTTGTTCGCAGGCATGTCAGGCGCGGCATTTTCTTTAGTGACTTCGAGTCCATCCGCAGTGGGTTGCAGTGCCCCTTTGCGACCATCCTCGAACAACTGTGACGTGAAGAAAGCATGATGAAAAATATGTCGCGTGGAATATATTACGCAACACACCAACGGAAACACTGCGAAAAGAAATTATGGGGCTGAGTGATATAAATGTTATAGGTTCGACGACAACACTACGTAGTGTACAACGATTGTTTTCCTTCTGCTGATATCCAGCACCGCCGACAGAACGCGACTTACTTACAGTCGTCCTACCTTTTCTGAAAGGCAGCTGAAGTACTTTAAAAAGAATTGTTATTTGAGTTCCCTTTTGAGTACTTTCACAGTGGTTTTCACATTCAGCTGGCATCTAACTCCCAATACTCACTCCAAATAATTATTTTTTTTGCAAAAGCGTTGAGGGGCTCGGACCACAGAACTTCCTTGGATGCTGAGCGAACGTGGTGGCGCCATCTCCGGCATGGCGCGCGTGATCTACAAAAGCAGCCCTGTAAAATCATGAGCTCCGGTACCGGCGTGCAGGCGGAGTTGGTCATGGAGGCCACGGTTTATATTCAACCTAGGCTTCTTCGAATAGACGGAAGAGTAAAGTAAGATCGCCGCGTCCACCAAAAGAAAGGACACACCCCCTGCGACGTGATGTTTTCGATTGCGGTGGCAGCGTGCTCGTCCGAAGTTGTGGCACGGGATTCAAAAGCTCTGATCTGAGTTCCAGAGCTGCATCTTGCCGGTACTTAACTACGGAGCAGAAACCTCGCGGCTTACAAAGAGGGTTCAGCTTATCTGAGGATCACGCAGCGAGCAATGAAAGGAAAATGGTATGTGTAACCTTAAGAGACAAGGAGAGAGCAGAGTAGATTAGGGAACATACCGGGGTTAAGGATATTATAGTTGAAATTAAGAAGAGGAAATGGACATGGGCCGGGCATGTACCGCGCAGACAGGATTAGCGCTGGTCATCAGGGTAACTAACTAGAATCCCAGAGAAGGCAAACGGGTTAAGGGGAAACTGAAAGTTAGATGGGCAGATGAGATCAAGAAGTTTGTGGGCATAAAATGGCAGCAGCAAGCACAGAAACAAGTTGACTGACGAAACATGGTAGAGGCCTTTGTCCTGCAGTGTACTGACGACGACCTCGATGATGATGAAGATGATGATGATGATGATGATGATGATGATTGTACACATTGAGCTTTGCGGTTTGCCTTTATGGCTGACATTGTAATCGAGCTGTCGCACTTTCAGCGAATCTATGCTTTCTGAGCCTCAGTTACACAAATATATAGCGTTCTCACATTCCAGATCAGCGAGCAGCGAGAACTGTTCAATAGAGAGCAGCGGGGCTCCGCCAAAAGTGCTGAAGAGGACGTAGTTTCTTCTCACGCCCACACTTTTGGTGCAATCAAATGGACCGAGGGCGATAAACTTATTTAGCGTATTTGAAAGTTCATGCAGAACTACCATGCAAAAGAATAAAAACATAGCGACATCGACCATAATGTCGGTCCTTGTAGACCACGAAGCTTTACCAAATGCTAAACCACGTCAGTCATCCTTTAAGTGCATAAGACGTAGCGATCACTTGCGAATGCGTTGCGATTTATGCTTTTGTTTCACGTGCCGCTAAATTGGCCTAATGGTTGTCAGGATCTCCAGAAACATTGATCTTTCCTTTGCTCCTTCCTCATAAAAACTATAGACGTAGGTCCATACTGCTAATAGAGATGACGTACTATTCATTGGTTTGTTCACAAAAGTGTTTTGGGTCTTAAAGCTCGTTCTTTTCAGACCGAGGAGGGCCACGCCCACGTCGGAATCATCAGGTTGAGCTTTGTGGTGTCATCGTAGACCTTCCAAACTGCCCGTACCTAATCTTGATAAGAGGCGCTTTGCATCATCATCTGCCAGTGAAGACATTTTTTTTTATCAAGGTTGGCAAGAGTCACGGGACAGCCCGCCAGCATGAAAGTTCCCTTTCAGGGTTAGTTTTATTGAGACAATACGGAGTGGAATAAGTGCCAGTTTGCAGTAAACGTAGCGTGTCCGCCTGAGCCTTGTTCAACTTCACGTGTGGAAGTGCACATTGTCTACGCCCCAAGTAATAATATTTTGTGGTATCGTTGTGCGTAACAAAACGACCTTTATCATCCCCAGAATGCTAGTTAGCGTTGAATCGGGTCTGGCCGGTACGGCAACCAAATCTTCGTGCCAGGTCATTCGTCCACTCGTTGAGATTGACCCGAGTGCACTGGACATGGGTTTTCTCAAGCATAAATTTCCGTGTAGGTCAATCAACAGAGTAGATAAAACAGGCCGTGGTTAACTAGGCGGAAGAGAGAGTGCAGGGAAATAATTGCAACCTAAATATAAACTGGTGATGGAGAGAAGATAACGAAGAGCCTCACGAGTCTCACACTCTTGTTTCCTTTCTAAAGATTGTCATCTGTGAACTTACTATACAAACGCGTTTTAAAGAGGTTATTCCTTTTGAGTGTAATTTATACCATTAGTCTGTGAACTGCAGTCTTCAAACTAAACGAGAACACGTCTTAACTAGGGCTAGCAACCATAGGTGGCATGCGTGCCTTGACTCCGTTCCAGATGGCGAAAAGGTCTCCCTTCGACCAGGCCGTGGTGATCGTTGGAATGATCGTGAAGGGAACCAGGTAGAGCAGAGCCGGCTGGGCGTTCCTCATCAGCTCCAAAGCTAGGAACGTAGCCACCATGCCCAGGCCATACGCTGCAAGTACGGTAGCCGTTTGTCGTGAGAAAAGTCTCTAAACTTGGCACAGAATCACGTAGAAGATGTGCTTGTGTAAGGACTAGTTGGAACGCTATGTTTCTTTCTATATATATTGCTCTTGCTGTCTGCTGTCTTTGTGAACTTTGCAGCACAGCTTTTTCCGTAATAATATTATAATAATTGTATTATTACTATAATTACTAATATAATATTAATATAATAATAATAATAATAATAATAATGGCCCTTTAATACTTTTTTCTAATCATCAAACTCCGGCGTAATTCAATGGGAGAGCTTCATACGCCGCCCGCACTTTCCGCGCCGCGGCGCTGGCGCAAATAGAGGGGGCGAGGAAGCCGGCTCGGCCGGCTGCTTCGCTGGCCGCCATTAGCGGAGTGCTGGGGGTCGTGCGGATCACCCTCATTTTTTCGCTTTTCGGGGTATATTCATGTTGACAGGGATGCCCAACACCTGCTGCGTGCCGGGCTCTCACTCTGGACACAAGGGCACCGTCGAAAAATTTTTCCTGTTCTATTTACCAGCCAACGCAGAACAATGCGACAGGTGGAAATGTGCGATCTCGCGACAGGAGACTTATTTCGTTCTACTCGACGAACGCTCGCGTGTGTAGAAAAACTCTTCGAAGCCATTGACATTGTACGTGCGAATGTGTGCACAGTGAGCAGAGTCATCGTTTCGGTACCCCAAGAACGACCGAGACTGGTGGAAGACGCCGTACCAAGGATTTTCGAAGGTTTGCCTTCTTACCTCTCCAAACCAAAACAGCGTTCACGTGCAACGAAGCACACACCTCGAAATGGCTGCGAGAGCTCGGATTGTGATGGGACAGTCGCGAATGCAGACGTCTCCAGTGCATCGGACGAACAAATCGATGGTAAGTCCACATCTGGCACAAAGCTTGCAAGTATCCCATCCGCTCACTACGCTAACCAAATTGGTTCCTTTCCTTATTATTTTTGCACTTTCTCACTCTTTTCAGATGTTGTGAGAACAGAGAATCGCAATGGCTATGCTGATGCTTAGTGTCAAACAGAGGTCACCGTCTGTTTAGCATCAGAGCTGCAGAGGTGAAGGCCCAACTTGTATTCCCCAGTGGCACAATCGGTTAGCGCACCGTACTTATACGAAGGCCCAACTTCGCATCGTGAAGCAACTGCTTCAATTATGCCAGTGGAAACTTTTTTCATTGATTTTAGTTGCGTCGCTCACTTCATCTCCCAACTTTCAACCACGGTTTATGAAATGCAGATTTGAATAAACTTTGTGCCAGTGCTCACGACAATTTGGAATTCTCGACGAGTGCCAGTGATTTCAGCAAAAATAACTATATGCTGACATCATTGTCCATATTTTCTTGCAAGGCGTAGCGTAGTTGCCTAATTCAAAATGTTACCCACTGCTATAGGTAAGTGGTGCACAGATTTGTTTCCGTTAGGCAGAAATGTCTCGCACAAGAAAAGCTCAAGTTGGATTGAAAGAGATATCAAGTACAACGGAATCGTTTACACTAAACAACTGGGTTGAAGGCTATGAGCGCGTAGCAGGATCAAAGTGACTAATTAGAACGCGGACTTAGAAGTCGTGGTCATTGGAAGAGTACATGGAAATGAAAAAAAAAAAACGCTGCTTATATCAACCCTCGGCTGCGTATCAAAACTGCATGCGTAAAATCAAAAGCTTTCGTTTCGAAATAGCACATAGGGCCTATATATGGCAGATCCCAACTGTTTCACAATAATAATAGCTGCTATGATTTGTTAGCAAGAACACGAAAATGAGAATATCTGAAGAAGTTTATTTGGTTGGAAACGCTTCGGCGAGTGCGCTACAGCCCTGACAAGCGCTGCCGATCGATGCCCTCCTGCTGACGGTGGCACCCAAGGAGGCCACGTTTGTCCACATATGAAACTTTCGCGGGTGTTTCATGACCAGAAAAAAGGACCATGGTATCGTTTAGGAGATCAAACCACTTTATGATTATACGGAACGGAAGGACTGAAAAAATCAAGACTACATAGTGTTCTTTGACGTGTACTGTGATAGCGTAGTAAACAGGCCACTGCATGCCGCCTTCAACAGACATGCGACCACCGTTGCTGTGAATTCCGAGGTTTTTTTCATGTTCGCTTCATCGCAATACTATCCGCTTATTTTTCTGATGCGTTTTTGGGTACATTGTTAACTAAAAGCGTGAAAGTAACTTCCACAGTAGTTAAAAACGTGCTTCATCTGAAAACATAAAAAAACTTTTCAGGGATTACACCTCTCGTTGTAGCTGCGGTCAACACCTTGTGGACAAAATCAATACAAGGGAAACGCCAAGGCCTTAACGCGTGGCCAAATAAACTATTTCCTATATAAAGCATCATGGACGCTTTATACATTGCCGCTTTGACGCCGCCAGTCAGCTGCCGGAGATAGCAGGGGATATTCGTAATTCTCAGTGCTCTAGCAACACTAGATGAGTTCATGCATGTTTTCAAGGGCGCCGTCGCGGCATTGCCTGCTGGCGCTTCCATAGGGAGAGGCCACGAGGCTGAGCCAAAGTAGTTCGCGGAGCTTTCAGAGAGACAACCGCATTTCTATTTCCCACTGCGATTACAAGAACACAAGTCCGATATCAAAACCACGTTTTTTTTTTCGCACTACCTGTGCAATGCTGCATGCGCTGCATTCCACGGCTCATTTCTTCAGCCACTGGTACCGTGAACTTAGCTCTTGTTAGCGCGGCACATGTGGCGATGAAAAAAGAAGCACGACAGGGACGTCTACAAAGGTAGGCACTACCTTTCTAGACGTTAGACGTTAGATGTTTCTAGATGTTAGCGCGGCACATGTGCCGCGCTAACATGAGCTAAGTTCATGGATAACAAACTCGCCCGAGCCACAACACTTTTCGGCGAAGGGTGCACACACATCCGTTTTCACAATTGTGCATGCCAACGTCTTCCAAAATAAACAAGGCCTGTACATGTGCATGAACGATGCGCCGCAAACCAAACAATAATATTGATTGGGCGTTTTGATTGTGCACGGAGAAAACGTCCCTTGTAATTCTCTTTTTATATTTTGCATTTAAAAATTTGCCTTAACAAGCCTTGCGAAGTCATTACAGAACGGATATAGTCAAAAACTACCTAACATCGCTGAAAAGTGATGATATGTTACTGGTTTTGTTTTCGTGCCCAACAAAACATGGCGGATGGAGCTGAAAGCATTGTCGGCATTTGACTCTGTACATATTCAATATGTTCTACAGGACATGTATTCTTACGCTATATTTATATTTATGTCAACAATACAGAACCAGTGAACATTCACTCGATGGTATACAAATGGTACTTACATACGCACGCAATATAGAAGTAAAATCTCCTGCCCAGTGCAAACAGGTCAAACGTGTGGCAGTAGGATATCAGCATACCTGAAAGTGTCAGGGCATCTCAGTAAACAAATAAGACCTAGACAATGTAACAAAACTTGCTGAGATCCTTATATGACGCTTCTAACAGCAATATTTTAGCCAACCAAACTTTCTGGTTTCTGGTGCTTTCTGCAGCGGCATACACGTGCCAAATATCTGCAAATCATTCGCTAATAAACAGACATGACCCTAATACGAATACACTTGTGAGACCACAATAATACATTTTCGCCTAATTAGTAAAGTTGTGCATTACTTTTATGGGCTGGTGATTTATCAACGAAATCTACTTTGAGCGAGTCAGTTGAAGAGAATTATTTCATATTTTCTCGATTACTTTTGCCTTAAACATGGCATTTCCGCTTTGCTTGCGGCATAAAAAATTACGAATAGAAACTGAAAATAACAATGGCAGGTTAATCGGAGTGCCGAACGTCAAGCATAGGGGTATTAATAAGGACATACAAAACGACAATATTATGTTGCAGTAATACGCTTTTAACAATATGTTTTGTAATGTAGTGTACACATGAGGTGTGCATAGATAGTGAACACTTGATAAAGTAGTTTCAGTGTCTTTCAAAAGTAATATATAGACATATCATTACTCTTGGGTGGCCTTGATTTTCAATTTGCATAGCTTGATCAAAATTCAAGATTTTGAAAATCTAGGTAATGTAAATAACCACGGTGTAGGAGCGATTTTCAATCACTGATACTAAGTCTAGGAAAAGTAATAAGCACCCCTGTCCAATATTTTCAAATTTACATCGTTTATACAAACGCAGAAGAATGTGCGATGAGAGGCAGCCTGGAGAATCACGTCTGGGCGGTTAACAGTATTTTGAACATTCGATTGGTGATAAGCGTCATTAGAGCTGTCCGACTTTCGACGTTGTGCCCTTGCCTGGCGCCAATATGTCCCCGAGGCCCAAGATGGAGAACTTCATCTGGAAGCACTTAGAGTAGCCACTCCGGTAGATCCTGGGGAACTTGATCACCATTGGCAGGACCTCTCTGACCCCGGAACCTTTGGCCACTTCGACCATCACGCTTTCGCGGTTCTGCACTCAAATACATTAGATAGCAATTCGTTTGTTTCCTAAATCGTTACTACCTCTGCCGTTCTCGGTGTTGTAAACGTTACCGAAAATTGTAACTGAATTTGTTACTCGTTTCTGAAACAAAACAAAAATGTAAATGTAAATGGAAAAATGTAACGTGATACAGTTAGCGTTGCCAAATAAAAAGAACGTTACATATACCGTTGCTCCGCAATGATAAGCTCTAATAAATGTGTTTTTGTAGCAAAACAAACAATAAAAATTTTCAGACCCCAAAGTTATGCTTCACTTAAAACGTGTAATCCAAACAATGATCATACACAAAATGCTCGATTTTCTATAAATATTTATGCAAATTTAGTGTGCCGGACCCTATCGATGTTATAAAAAGATGCCTGTATACTATAGAGTTACATTCGATGGCTTCTACTGTGGCACACGGTGAAGCCATTTTTCTCTATGTGGCATTATATACAATACCAGATTCAATCATGCACTCTATCTGAAGAGAAAGAATCACCGAACTCTAAAAAAATTCACGTTGATCGCCCTTTACAAGTTCTAACAGGAGCTCCAGTGGAGATCGTTGAAATCAAAACTAGTGGTCATTATTGGCCTCAGAAATAACCCACCACGCGCCAAAAAGCAATCACGAAGGCCTGCATTCGCACTTACTTTGGGGAGGGGGAAGACAATTGCACGTCTAAGACCCCAGTTATCTTTTTGTCAGCACGTGTCGTCATGTTTTGGCTACCGACAGCCATGCACATGTGCGTATGATACCTACGCAAAAAAAAGCCCCTTTTGACGGTGGGCTTGGCCTAGCGAAAAAATTGCGCAAGTATGTCGCAGTGAAGAAATGCTTTAACGGCCTTGTCATAAAAAAATGCAAGCATAAACAACTTCTGTTCACTTTACCCTGCAACGTGGCACCGCACGTTGCCGAAAAAAGTTAGACTAAGTACGCTACCCATTACAGTTCCGAAGTTGTAACGACTACGTTACTAAGTTAGCGAAAAAAGCAACGCATTACCAGTAACGGCGTTACTTGTAACACGTTACCGCCAACACTGGCGTTCTTATACCATACATTGTGGTTCTTAGGGTCCTCTGTTCCTTATCGTAAAAAGTAATTGCGTCACACAATTATTTAGCTAGCCGATTACGTAATTCAATTTTAATGGCATGAAAAGAATAATTAACAAGCGAAATAATAATTCAGTTTTAATGGCACGAAAAAAAATAATTATCTAGCCGATACATATATTATAGTTCTGTTTAGCTTCACGTAGCAGGCACATTTATGTTACATTATTGCTACAATTTTGATTTTTGTTTTTCGCTAAATGATACGCTAAAAATTGTGGGCACGTTACATTCTCAATCAAATACTAAATTCGCATCAAGTTATGATTTTCAGTTTTTTCTAACGTAAGATTAGCTGCACGTTGTAATCACGGGCACGCAATATTAGTGAAAGTACGGAATACACCGGGATGTCTTGGTGCGTCTAGGATTATTCGACATATTGGCAAACATTTTCATTCGCTACTCTGCACATATCGAAACTCGTTCGCTGTAGCAGGAATCGTTGGGAAGTACGCACACTAATGAATGATCCGTAAAATTGCTGTCCCACGGGAACCACGACCGATGACAAGTGTCGTCCAGGGGCTACAAAAGTATATAGCCGATCTTTCATAAAATCTCGGGAAATTCCGTGTGTACCATTGCATGCCATCAACATATATTTTGAGTAATTTATTTGGTGCCAGGCAGAATCGAAATCTCGCCGAAAATCTTCAAACAAACTACTGCAATACCTACTGCACTTCCACCAATTACGCGGAGCCCTTTCTTAAGGGCGACAATAGATGTAACGAGAAAAAATGTTAGAAACGTTTAGTTTACGAGTTATATATGACGTATGAAAAGCAGAACCTTCAATAGCACATTTCGATCCACCCTAAGGAAAAGATTAAGAAATCCTGTAAGGAATCATGCCATGACCAGCATTGAGGGCGTCATGTACCCGTGCATATGCAAAACGGTACTGCCAGAAATCACGATCTCTCGGTGACGAACTTCTAATGCTGCAGGAGATTTTGCGAGCGCCAATTCCTTAGGTGTGATTTCCTCGCATTATAGGACAACATTTTACACTTCGGGAAAGTTAACCATCCCAGGTGAGGGCAATGATGAATAACAATAAAACACAATACAGTGTTTCAAATAGCAGGACTTACCACGCGCAAGAAAGGGGTAATGAAGACGAAAAAGACGTCGTACACCAGCAGGAGCATCAAGAGTAAGGAGAGGAGCTGCAAAGATAAAATCACGCATGAGAAATTATTGAATTGCTAAGTTAAATAAATGGTGGGGCATTAAGACCTCAAAAATTGCTAAGTTTCCACGGAGTGCACGATTATGAGTGGGGTGAAGCGTCCGTTAGTCCGTCCGCCCATTCGTGCGTCCATACGACCGTCCACGCGTCTGTCTGTCTGTCTGTCTGTCTGTCTGTCTGTCTGTCTGTCTGTCTGTCTGTCTATCTGTCTGTATATATGTCCGTCCTACCATCCGTCCGTTCATCTAGTGAACACTCCAAACGCCACCACCTCGCATCTTTTCATAATACATTCAACATATAGAAAGTACCGCCACCCAGCGGAAATTCCAAGGATTAAGCGTGTGGTGGCCAGCTATACGATGCCTATAGCACTACTACATACATCGGGAACGCATGGCCCACGGCTCAAAGAACTTCGCCCCTCATATAAGGGAATGATTAGGAGGCACACCATAGTGGGAGACTCGGGGTTAGTTTTGTCCACTGGAGGTTCTGTAATGCGCAGTTAATCAAAGTGCACGGGTGATCCCACATTCGGACCCCATCGAAACGCGACCTCAGTGCAGTGTACCGCGACTTCGAGCGCCGCTGTCACTCGTTAAGCTGAGAACTTGACGTGCAATGTTCGGGAGGGAGATTTCTTAGAATATTACACAACAGTTAAGGAGATGACAGTAAGTCTAGGAACGAACAATAACAGCAACCAACAGCAAGTTTTAAAAGTACGTTCATAAACACTGTCACAAGCTAAGAAAAGTCCTTATCTACACGACGCAAATATGCTCGTCTCATCAAATGCTATCATCATATTACTTCATAATAGAAAGTGGGCGATGACACGTATCCAGGAACACACAATACTTCCTCATAAATCTGCATATAGGAGAGCGTATATCTATGCAAATACCTTGAGGTTGGGCAGGTGGATGCTTTTGAGCATGTTGATGCAAAAGGCGACGCCGAGCAGATCCTGAAGGATCCAGCCAAACGTCTCGTTGCGGCGCAGCAAGAACCAAGTGACGGCCACAGACATGCCAAACACCAGAAGGACCACATGCCTGACTTCCATGCGCGTCTGACAACACGCTGCCACCTGTGCTGGCACCCTTTAAAAGCACAAAACGAATTATGCTGCAGTATAGCAGACCATGAAATCACGTTACAGTGTCTACAATTGTGTTTACGTTACAATTTTGTGCACATAAGATATTATATCTTGCACATCAGGATGGCCAGAAAGAAAAAAAGTTTATCTTTTTAAATACATAATCAGTTTCCCTTTGAATAATATCTCGTCCTATTAGTAGGATCATTGTCACGCATTAATAAATTACACATAGCTCCCACACGTTTTCATCGCTTCTGGTAGGCGATTGACATGTTTGCGGCGCACATGTCTGCAGATTTTCCTGCGGTGCAGGAGCAGAGACTCCGATTCTCGATTCATCGATACCCGTATCAATTCATCGATACCCGTATCAATTTGGGCCTTAGGATTCTTCTCAACCTCACCCCAGTCGAAGAAGTCACTGGACGTCAAGACTTCCTATAGATCATTTTAGGCGATAAAGACTTCCAAACTGGCCGCCTACAAAAACGTTTGTTGAAATCGTGCATCTGCTATACCTAAAATGAGAGGTGCGATGAATTTCCCGACTGTGTACGTAACAAAACTGTTTGAACTGGTTAGTGATTAAAAACATAATAAACAATTTTATTGACAAGTTATTTTTCGCAAGCTTGCTACCTATGCAAATACAAATATGAGTGAGTGAGTGAGTGAGTGAGTGCGTGTGTGTGTGTATGTGTGTGTATGTGTGTGTGTGTGCGTGTGCTTGTGTGTGTTTGTGTCTGTGTGTGTGTGTGCGTGTGTGTGTTTGTGTGTGTGTGTGTGTGCGTGCGTGCATGTGCTGTTCGTCCTCCAACCTGCAATGTACATTCGCTAGTTACATTTTCTACAGTGAATATAGATAGCCTGTGATAAGTACTAACAGGTCCAAAATGAAGGCGACACCTGCACAAGACAGGTCACCTACCATTGCAATTAATGCAAGCCATTTCATACAATAGGTTCGTAAGGACGAAAGTAGCTGTGTCCTCTTTTTCTTTAGCTTTATATGAGCGCCAGTTGAATGGTTCATTATTAAAAACACATAACGCCATCCATCTCCAAGCTACACAGTCCGGCACACAGACGTCGATTATCGACTGCCTAAAGAGAGCACCAGAGTGGTTGCAGTTTTTGTAACTTGAAGCAGCAAAAAGAAAACCAGCAGGTAATGAAGGCAGGGCAGATATAAGGGACGTTAACTGTACTGGTTTAAATGTATTTCTAGTAATTATATCTCATGTAGAGAATTGGACGAAGTGTCATCTAGTCGGAATGTAATGGCACTACAAAGAAAAAGACAGGATTCCGACCAAGAGGCTGCCAAAAATATAATAAAAAGACGTAACCATTCCACACGGAAGCCTTGTTCACTGTAGGCTTCCGTGTAGAAGCCGAAACATCGTTTTAATATATTTTCGACACCCTCTTGGCCGTCGTTCTGTCGTTTTCTTTCTACAATGTAATTATAACATAGATGTCAGGAATGAAATGTCGACAAAAATTCACTCGGCAGAGACCAAGTTTGCAATTTTTGGATGACGCACACGACGCTCTCACCAACGGAGCTACCACCGCAGTCGTTCCCTCGAACAAATTATCGGGTATTCATGTGCATGAAACACTGGGAGTGTGCTGGTTTCCATTGAAGCTGTGCCAAAAAATGAGACGAGCCCTCGAAATGGCCTCCTTTCAGGCAGCAGCAATGTATCACACAGTAGCTCTTCTAACACAAAGTTTTTCAGAGATGAAGAATCATGGACAACGGGTTGTAGCTGGTGCAAACTTTTCCTCAGGTGATCTCGTCTTCTTTAAAAGATGCCTAAAACACTCCGAGTTCAATGACGAGATAGTTGTTAAAGAAACGACTATACCGTCTTTGAACTAACCTTCCCTATCCTCTCTACATAAGCTACTTCTCCCCGCCACTTCATTCTATCTAAAGCACGTGAACTATAGGTCAGCACTAAGCGGTGACCCTATCGGGATTTCTTGTTTTTAGGCTACACATGTTATAACTATCTGCGGAGCACAAAACGAAGTGAAATGAGTTAATTCCGTACTATATAGTCATGCAAGACAAGGCTTAACCAGCGTGCGACTGTATGGGAAAGGAAGGTAGAATAAAATTCACAACTGATACGCTTCGCATACGGGCCAATCCAGAGTTCGCTTCCTCATTACATAACGTGAACAGAGTACTGGGATCACGAATCTGGTCGAAAAAATTGTGAACGCTATAGTAGTGCATAAAGCATCATTCACACAGCCGTCATGATGCTTCATCGCATCGCCGACAGGGCACAGCTTTTCCCAACGGGAAAGAATTACTCCGTCGTTTTTGCCTCAAAAAAGAGTTGACAACGACATAGAGTGGTAGCCTACGCTTTTGTCACCAGCACGGCGACAGAGCCCCGTCTTTACAGAATGGACCAATCAGGTATCTTCACTCAATGCGTCGCCTGTTCTCAATCGCATGCATATTTCTTCGTCACCGAACTTCACGTGGGCGTCGCTGTCCCCCCTTACAAAGAAACAACAGCATCATAATACTGCTCAGCATCAGAACAACAGACATGTGTTTGCCATGGCAGCCAGTGTGATCACTATCTTTCTTTTGGCGCGTTGCAGTAACATAGGCGTCGTGTTCCTGGTGTGCTACTGAACAGTTTATTGCTTCCGCAAGCACTATACAGGTGAAAAGCTGCTTAACTCATTTAGTTGATGATTGATGTGTGGGGTTTAACGTCCCAAAACCTTCATATGATTATGAGAGACGCCGTAGTAGAGGGCTCCGGAAATTTCGACCACCTGGAATTTTTTAACGTACACCCAAATCTGAGCACACGGGCCTCAAACATTTCCGCCTCTATCGAAAATGCAGCCGCCGCAGCCGGGATTCGAGCCCGCGACCTGCGGGTCAACAGCCGAGTACCATAGCCACTAGACCACCACGGCGGGGCTGTTTAACTCATTTAGGTAATGCATAATTTTGATATCGTTTTAATGCTGCTTACGCGTTCAAGGGAACAGTGAGACAAGGGGGCACCTAAACGTGCTTCTATCGAAGTTATCACCGCATTTGCCTCTTTGTGCACAAATCCGTGGTGCCTGTTCTACGATTTTTCATCTGGGACGGTGATGCCATGGAGCGTCTGGAGCCTTTGTGATTGATGCCTAATGCGCTCGCTTTTTGTATATTCGGAGGTTTGTATATTCGGATTTGTTTTAGGGGTGGTATATGATGGTAACTGTCTTGAAACAATCAAGACCACTGGTCTGAATATTGATGCCAAGACAACTACGTACAAGAAAGTTTAATGTCTTCAAGGCTGCGTAGAGTTCACGCCTTGTTTGCAAAGTCTTCCAGCCGAACAATGACTGAAAATACATATAGTGGAATATTACCTCGATCTCCCGACGCTGATGTGGTTGACGAGTGGCTCCAGACAGGAAATCAGTGCAACTGCGGATGCCATGGCGAACGTGATGACCAGGCAGTGCACTGGAACGTATGTGAACAAAACGCGGGCAGGGTTACCCTCAAACAGTTCTATTTTATTTTCACGTGGAAGTAGCGCAAGACCAGAAGGTGCCAGTGTCATTAAGCAGTAGACTGCTTATGTAATCTGCGAATGATACATACCTAGGCTTAGAACACTTAGCGGCAGTGCACAAAAGACAAAAATGAGAGAAAAAGTGTCCTTCTTTCAAGAAAGATTGGCCAATCTTGTGAGCGTCCGCTGAACTTGTTGAACACAAATAATTTGCAGTGTGTGCAAATTGTAGCCTTCAGAATTCGTAAACACTATGATTTACTTAAATATGCTGCTTGTTTGTATTTAGGTTTTTGTTTGTTTATATATTATTTTTGGCCCTTTCCTCCCGCGTCTCATGGTTCTCGGTCTTCTTGGCTGGTTGGTCTACGAAAGTGAACAGAGCACTCTCAATCATCCTCTTGTTCCCAGCTTTAAGGCGATAGCAATGGCACCTTCCTGGAGGATTCCAGCGCATTAACGTAGCTTAAGCAGCACCTCAACGTAGGACATTCCTTCCAGAAACGGAGCATGTTGTGCATTCGACAGTGGCTGTGATGATTACACGACAGCTGGACCTCGAATTATCTGATACCCGTAAGAAACGTTTGGAATGAAAAACAAGTAAGTAAACAGACAGCAGAAAGATATGTTCTCGTCGACACGCGTTTTCATATACTAAAGAGAGCCATTGGCGAAATTTGACTTGCTGTCACACGTAGCCGAGTCTCGTGACCTGCGCAGAAACATCACTGACGACGTGATACCAGCTCCAAAACAAAGAGGAGAGGGAAATAGTTTGCCTGGCATTGCATAATTATCGTGGTATGCCAGTGTCAGTGTGGTTGACACAGGTCATTTGCGAAGCAGTAACCATCGGCTTGCCTCATCATGGTTGTCACCACTACTGCCAGAACAACGGTACTCGACATAGAGCTTCATTGATGACGTCGTGTGTGACGTTTCTGTTGATGTCACTTGACTCTTTCGCTTGCTACGTCAACCGGAAGTGTAGCTATTGCGCTCTTTACCCCATAAGAACGAGAAAAAAAGTTTGTAACTCTTTTCCATGAGCCTTGACCCAGGAAGATTCTCCCTCCGTGGTCCTGACTTACCACTCTCTCTTTGTATATTGTTATACTCCTCGGCGAGAGTATAACAATATACAAAGAGAGTTTCGCTGCTTCTCTAAAGAGAGTAAAAAAAGAGTCAAATGACTCTTTTTTCTTTACCAAGCAGGATATGGAAACGCACTTCATGGGCGTCGTCACCTTACCGAGGTAGCGGTAGAAGTAGTAGAGCACGAGGAGCATGACACTCATGTGCATGACGAACATGACGATGAGCTTGGGAGAGACGGCGAACGAGAACTCCTCCTCCATCTCCTGCATGCTCTCCGTGAAGTCAGAGTTTTCTGACGGCACACCCACGGATACTGAAGAGTGTTTCCTGCCAGAGAAAAACGGGAATGCATGTCTCATGTACGCGGCCCGCAGCCCAAACATGACTCTCTTCGGCCCATTTTTTATTAACTTCAAGTAAGTTTGCTCATAAGCTACTCAGTCATGACAGGGCTCAAACAATTTTTTTTTTCGTGAGGTATGCGCTGTAGCTACCATGAGTTGACAGATAACCATGAAACAAAGCTGTATTGGAAAATTGGCGTCCAGAATATAGTCATTTTGCAGGTAGGCATTGATATATTGTGAGAATAATGGCATAACATGCTTTTTGATAATGACGCATACATGAGATATGGAAAAGATCTTCTAAATGTAAATGTCAGCTTACATTTTTCCCAACCCACACTCCCCCACCCCCTCAACCTTGATTTTACCCCTGTCGTTGTTTCTGGCCGTTGATTGAGTAAGCTTCGTGACTGCGGCCCCTTAGCTGAGGTGAGTTTGAGACCCCGGGTATGAGAAAGAATTCGCGCGTCTTTACGCTTAATCCGATATAATGAAACAAAACTTAGACATAGATCAGTGTTAACCGTCTGTTGATTGTTAGCCAGGTTAACATGTATAAATGGTAGAGGAGATCCTAGGAATGCCAATGCGCTCAGAAAAAGGCGGCTCATGAGCATGGTTGTTATGAACAGCCCTCTTGTAATGGGTTGGGGACCTGTGCATCGACTTGCCCCATCTTTTTTTATTCGGTCCAACTTCTTGCCTACCTTACTTCTGTCCTGCTCATACAAGTGCGCTTTGCTTTATTACTTTGTTAGCAGGACCCCCATGAACAATCAAAATTAGTGTACATGGTACAAGGTAAGCGTACGCGTATAGGCAGATTCAACCCTAATGGAAACCGAGAGACAGTCGATCCAAGCAAGGTATATAGCGAACGCTCTTTGTAGTTTTTTACCTGGATTGTAATAGTTAGGATATGCATGTGAAGAAATGAAGCGGACAGAAAAGACAACCTGTCACCAACCGCGACCGAACTTGCAACTATCGGATCGCACAATTCATTAGACACCTCTACATTTAAAACGACATGCACGATGCTCCGTGCTTACGGCTTCCTGTCAGGTTCGCTAGGTCTTCTCAGACGACGGCTGATTCTCTTTGGCCTGCTGCGGGTCCTTACGGGCTGCGCGACTTTTTGCTTATACCTGCGAGAATATCAACAAAAAGAAACGTCGAAGCGCTGCATGGAGGTCGGTTAAAGTCGCCGCTGATTAGGCTGCTTCATATAATTCCTTAACAGACGCTCGCTATGAGTGAAAAAGCGCAAACATTTCGTGATCAATACCTGACATCCACAGAGAACGTGCTGGGCCTAGTCCTATAGGAAGAGGAGTGGAAAGCAGAATGAAACAGTGAGTCAACACAGCTGAACGGAAAAAAAGACGAACTCCGTGTTCATAACCAGGAAAAAAAACGTACAAAGCCTATACTTACAACAGCACCGAATAGACTGCAATTCCATACCTGCGGAGGAGTGATGTTGAAGAAGGAAACGAAAATAGGCTTATTTATCAACACAAAGCACTGCAACGACACGGAATAAAATAGTGTAAAAAAGGTAACCAATTGGAGAGAGCAAAGTTAAAACTGCCTGGTTTAACTTGGTCATCTGCTCACACGCGACAATAACAAGGACGCTGAATTGGTCAGAAAGATGTTTGTTTCCAACATACTGATTATTAGTAAATAATACTTGATGAATAACTGAATAATGCTTTATTAAATAATAACATTTTTATTAGGCGATTCACACTCACCGGCCGCACTGTGCGATGCCGGACCAGTAGGCTCCAAGAGTGACTGTGCCTACTGCGATGAGCCAGATGATGGCGAAGCTCCAGTCCAGGGCTGTGGAACGCGTGAACAGCTTAGCCATCACGGTGCCGTTCGCGTGCTTCTCCTCGTAGTGCTGGAATGAGAGAGTGGCAAAAAAAGAAGAGATGGATGTTTCCGGAGCTGCTCCTCAGGCATACCCTGCAATCATCACGGCAGTCTGATCACATGCGACTGTTCTCACAGCTCACTGAATTCACAACTATGTGTGTTTAATGAACGCATATCCTAAGGTACATGTGAATTCCAGAAACTAAAAATTTGCGTCATTCGTTCACGCGCACAGTAGTAAATCTAGCTGCTTTTTTATTGCGAGAGCTATAGATGAGCAAATTCGTTCTCTTCACGCTATAATTCAGTCTATTGAAAGCATTCGAACCGATGCCAAGCACTCAATGGCACTTTGGTTTAGCCGGTGAAGTCAATAGAATTTTATCACTTCCAAATGTGTACCACGTGCCGCTATTTGGAAACATCAAAGCGGCAATGGGCTTTCCAGAAACGTAGCTTCAATTCTCTCTTTTTACCTGACCTCCCGTCTCCACTATGTAATCAGTGAATTAACATATCTAATTACTGCCATAACTTCTTTTCCCATTCATCGTAAGGTGTCTACCGCTAGCGAATATGAGGGCAGCCACCAAATATTGCATTTCTCTTCATTACGAAGAATTTCGGTTAACGTTTCTGAGACACCCCGCGTACCTCGTAACGCAGCTACGCTTGTAATTGCTCTGAGTGAACATGTAGGATACGCAGTCAACTGACGCTCGACGTCTGGGTGAAAGACAGGTAACGTTGTGTGCGTGCGTGTGGTTCAGACTTTTGATGATTCACGTGGACCTCCTCGCTTTACGACCGGAAATGTTTACGAACCGAGTATCTGGCGCGAGAAACGAAACTGTGACGGGACTGTTTACGCACCTGTATATTATATTATATTTAATATTTCATACGGTGTCTCCGTTATTTCGTACGTTACCTGTGTTATTTTTTGAAAATAAGTAACTGGTGCCCTCGAATTTTCATATATATAACCACGTCAAAGTTTAGTACACGGACACGTCCCCGCTGGCACAAGCCTGCTACGCGGAAACCAGATTCAAAACTATACAAGATACAGCACACATCAAAAAATAAACTCCATTTGCACTCACGGCAATTTGGCGTCCTGTCGAATTCTTGGCAAAAGCGACGACTATGTCCAGCTTCTTTATGTCAGTGCTTGTCTCTGCTATCTGAAAGAAGAACATAAAACAAACGTTTTACTTTCAGGAAATAAGGATTCCACGGAAATCTGTTCGCCTTGCTAAGCTATCACATGCACACCGCACGTGCATCGGTTGCCCGGCTTGCACTGAGTTAGCTACGGGCAAATGGCTCTTAAAGAAGTAGTACCATTATTTTCGGTGCACCGCATGCACAGCTTACGTACAAGCGCCGCCAAGAAGTAGATCTAAACGATACCTCCGCAAAAACTACGCTTAGAACGTAAGCCACGACCACGCTGCCCTGCCTGTGAAAGTTCTCAGAAGCATATGCGAGCACCCCTGATAGCCACATCCTGTAAACGCGCAAAACTTTCACAGCTGCCTGTGAGCAGCTGCCAAGATTATGCCACGTGACTAAGTCAGTATGGTGGCGAGTGCTTCCGAATGGCGCCTGGTCACTTTCGTGCCTTTAGTGCAGAACCAGCGTGAAAAACAACCTAAATAAGAAAACCTGATCCAGAGAATTAGACCATCCTTAAAGTCAACTAACATTAAAAATGAGGCGAGAAGCCCAAAGAAATGTTTCAAGAAAATCATAATTTTAAAACAAACAGCGGAGGGTGAGTAGGCCTACGTGGAGACGGGAGAGTGAAAGCCTGGGACGGTAAAGGTGTAAAATTACTTTAGCGAATTTGTGGCCTCCGAGATAGCACGCTGGCAGAAGGCTCCCAACGGACTAAAGAACCGACGTTGCAGGCATCGTTGAACCAACGCATACGTATGAGGCAGGCACAGTTTTCGTCTGTGTACCCAAATACCTCATGTATGTACACGGCAGTGGTGAAAATTCTCGCACTTCGCGCGATATCAGTTCTTAAATATCACATTAACCGAGTAGTAGCTCACGTGTATTGACGCCTCACGCAATCGAATTATCCTCGTTCACCTCAACATAGGAGTAAATTGGAGAGTTCGTATTGGTTCGTCATCAATACCTCGAACAAGAGAACACAGTATTAAATATTTGTCTTTCCTTGAGAAGATGATGATGAAGAAGAAGCCATCAAAAACTATGCGTGAACTCTCAAGAAAGAAGAAAGCGTCCACCATGGACTGTTCCAACTGCTATGTGTAAATAATGTAAATATAGTCTTGTTTCTTCGTATGGCGTGACCAGTATTTCCACAAAATGGTGCCGAAACCCTTTTGGAGTACTCACCGGGACAATACATGCTGTCAGTGCTCATTGGGAACTTTCGAACGGAAGACAACACGTCGGGAAGACAGCGGAACCCTTAGAAGAAAGCCAGAAATAAAATCTGAAGGGAGATACACCTCTGCTTTTCACCGTGACAGCAAAGAGACCAGTCGATTGAGGTGAGCATGGTCACGCATTTTTGAAGCAAGATAAATCGCGTCAGAGCGCTGAAAGATAAGCGAACGGCATGACGACAGATGAATATGCGTCTCATCAATGAAGCCAAAGCCGTGATGGAAAGTGCCTTTGATTGAACGGCTACAAGGCAACAACGCATATTTGGATAAAATTAACGCCGAGCTGGAAGAGCTTATTCCAAAGGACGAGTTCGCTACAGAGTTAGAAGCTGGCTGTGTTGACATATCAAGACGCTGCACTAGAAATGCTGGGACAGCTGAAGGCTCAGTAGTGGCAAATGTGCCAAACCCTTTGTCCTACGACATCCCAGTCTCTACCTGCAAGGCTATCCCAGACGCCCGAGGATTGCACACCGCGCAAGGAAATCAAGCTTCCCGCACTCAAGCTGCAGACATTTGACGGAGAGCTCTACCACCGGCCTTCGTTTTGGGAGCAGTTTAGGACAGCTGTTGAGGAAAACGAAAGCCTGACAAAAGGAGAAAAGCTTCAAATGTAAATGCTCTTCTGAAAGAGGACGCAGGTGCCGCGATTTTTTGGCTGCAAGCGACGGCCGAGTGCTACGACGATGCCCTAGAGATTTTGAGAAGTCGTTTCAGAGTTAACCGGCGTATTGTACAGGACCATCTACGCCGACTGCGTGCTCTACCAGCAGTTGATTCTTCGGAAGACGTCCACAATCTTCGAGAGCTGTAGGATTATGTGCAGTGCCACATCAGAGGTCCGAAAGGATTAGACGTCAGTCCTGCCCCGTTATGCAAATATGATGACGGATATTTTGTTGAAGGCATTGCCAACAGACATAGCCAACCTTAGGTCACCATCCGTCTACGACAGACAATGCAGACTCAGGACAACAGCATGACTCATCATTGACAGCCGCAGCTGAGAAGGAATTGCAAGAACTCCTGAAGTAACTTCAGCGCGGAAGTTGAAAGCCGCGAAAGAAGAGAAGCCCATGAATTTAATGGAAAGAAAAGCACCCGTCCACCCGAAGAGAAAAGGAACTTGAATGCTACTCTACCAACAGCAGCGGTGTTGCTGTCTTTGTCGAAATCGAAGGATAACGACTGTCTGTTTTGTGAATCTGCAAAGCACGCAGTTCCAGTTTGTGACAGCAGTATTATCCACGAATAAAAGTTGAATAAATTGGCTGCCGAGAAGCGATGTTATTGATGCACCGTAAAAAGCATCTATCCAAGAACTGCTTCAAAAAAGTCAAGTCAGGAACATGCGGAGGTAGACACGTTTCTTCCGTGTGCGATCCCAAGTGGAGACCTAAGAAGAAAGAACACGAATGGCTCCGTAACTGCAAACAGTCTGCATACCAGCTCTCCTTCGTATGTAGAATCTGATGTCTTATTGCAAGCATTTAGGGCATGGGTCATAGGGAAAACGCAAAAGGCCTATATTCGTGGCATTGTGGACAGCGGAAGCCTACGTACATTTATTCGGGAACATGTATCCAAGACGCTTGGATTGAAATAGCTTGGATCGGTCAACCTACAGCTAAATGTATTTGGACAGACAAGTTTCGTTGCGAGACAACATTGTGTCGTCGAACTAAAACTTCACATTCATTATGACACTAAGGAGTACCTGTTAACTACCATAGAAGTACCATTCGTCTGCAAGGATCTTGTGCAAGTACCAGTCGACCATGACTTCGTCAGAGACATCAAAATCGAAGGCCATTTCCTTGCTAACAAGTTGGTGATACCTGGCATGGCTGCAGCTCCAGGAATCAGCCATTTAATCGGTGCTGATCAGCTTGGGAAATTAATGTCGGGAGAGACGAAGCAAAACCATAGACAGAAAAGCTTGGTGGCGATGGGTTCTGCCTTTGGATGGATGTTGCAGGGGTCCCTTTCTTTTGGCACCTCTTTGGAATCAGGTCTCAATGTATGCGTCTTGCGACTAAGTACGTCTGCTGACTCTACTAACGAGGTTCTACGGAGGTTCTGGGATTTGGAAAGCATCGGAATTATTCCAGCCAAGAACACTCCAACCAGAGAAAATAATACGGTAAAAGAAAGATTTGAACAGGACGTTACCTTCTTCAATATATATAGTCGCTATCAAGTCGCGCTTCCTAGGAAAGAAAAAGATTGGGGACAAAACAAATAGATGGTAACCGAATTCTAGCAATGAAGTTACAGAAGTGTCTAGGAAAGAAAATCAAAAACAATCCGGAGTTTGCTGTCGAATATAAGGCTATGACAACCTATCCAGCTTCTGTACCTGATGGAACTGTCCTTGATGTAATGAACTCAAAGTGCGCGACTTTGCGGTGGGCGGAGGATATTGAATATTTCTCTTTCCTTGCGAAGATGATGGAGAATAAGAAGCCGTCAAAAAGAACGCTTGAACTCTCAAGAAATAATAGAAACAAGAAAGCGTCCGCCATGGACTGTTCCAACTGCTATGAGTAAATAATGTAAATATAGTCTTGTTTGTTCGTATGGTGTGACCAGTTTTTCACGCACGGTGCTTCTTTGTAAGATGTCGCTGCTACTTATCTAGCCACGTACTGATGGTCATGTGGTTGCTCACCACACTCCACGAACTCTAGAATAGTTCTCCAGCATAGTGTTTTTCATTATGAAAGAAGTGATGGAAGCATACCACATAGTTATCATATCACATATCACAAAGATAGGTGCGTTAGCTGGTCATCAATTGGTTTCCATGACAAGAAAATCACTTTTTTGAAAGAGTACTCTCAGGGGCTTATTAGACGTAGACACTCGTGACACGTGTCCTTGTGTTTGCTTGTATATATACATGTGTAACAATCAATACACCCTTCACTTGCAAGCCAGCATTTATGCACAAGCTTATGCTTTTTCTTAGTTTTGTCATGCATTTTTGTGCTGCTTAAGTTCATGATGAGTTGTTCAACGAATACGTCGAATGAACCACCTTATACATGGCAAAATGGTTTTATCTGTGCGGGACACGCACAAAGGGGTCACTCTCGTATATAAAAGCAATTTCAACGAAATGCGTACAGGATGCCGACTTCTACGTAGGTCGCTATTACAGAGAAGTGAACATCAATAAAATAGCGAAACATTGAACCCGTTCAAACGTATCAACCAACCGGTCGCTTCTCGTTGTACGTCACCACAATGGCTGCCGCCTTGGCGCTCTTTGCCTTCTGAATAATGTCGTCGTTAGAGGTGTTGTCGCAGTGCTCCATGAGCACCACCTTGCCCTCAAAGCTACGCCGCTCGTAGTCGCACTCGGTGTCGTTCAGCACGTTCAGCAGAGGCAGGTACTCCTGCAAGATCCAGATCACAATTCACCTTCAAACTCATAGTGGGTGTCACCCTGCTGATTGATATGCGGGGTTTAACAGCTGCAGTGTCGCCCTGTTATGAGGCGCACAAAAGACTCTAGTAGTCACCAAAAACACGCAATAACTCTTGGTATACAGAGGGCAGGGTTGCTCTTAATGGCTACTTTGCGCCACATTGGGTATACTTTTCGACCCGTTTGGCGAGCAGAACTTCCATTTGGTGCCATGGCTATTTTTTGCCTCTTTAAATCTCCTGATTATCTGTTATTGAAATTGTTTTCATTTATTCGTTAATAGTAAACATTTTGCTCATCATAACAGTCCAGTTCTATTTAGCTAAAGTTTGGCAATAATTATGTGTGACACGACTACTATGGATACTTTTTGCTTGAGTTCTGGCGCCCTTTCAAGTGCACCCCATGGCAACCCTCAGAGAGTGTATACACTTAAGATTCGCGTTTAATAATGTGCGTATCCGCAGGTTTCAACTGTATGAAATGCGAACAAAAATTCAAAAGGAGCAGCAATGCAGACTGCCATTTTTGTTATATGACACTTCAAAAAGCTCACTGTAATTTTCTGTCATATTTTGTAGAGGTAGATTTCTTGCTATTTTTAGAGGTGTTTTGTAGAGGTACATATACGTCGGCCACTTTTTGGGTTATAAGTATGCTATTGCAGTGACGACATGTTTTGCTTTGATATAAAGGTGGTCTGACCCACGAGGTAAGAGTCAGAATGGAGAAACGTCTATTTGAATTGTACTCTGCTATTTTCTTCACCAAGGACCCCATCGCCACTTCAACATTGTTCTTCCTTTCCATTTCATACGCCTTAGTATTCTCGGCACCTAGTATTCGTAAACAACAGTCTTGCGGGCTGTATATCATTTCATGAAAATAAGCGAATGCTTAATCGTTTCTGATGTACGCTTCCTAGTTGTCGTGCTTACTTAAAAGGCAAATGAACGGCGTCCGTGACACTTTGTGTGAGTGCGCTAAATATCTCTCTATGAGCGGATCGTCTTTTTTTACCACTCCCTTAGTCATGTTGTCTGCAGGCGTTCTTACTTACAAATGATTGTGCTATTGTACTAGGCATACGGTGTTCGAACAAGTTGCTTGAATAAAATAATAATATTGCTGTCTGCTGTACGCCTCCGCCTGCACCAGAATCTCAGGTCTGTTGTAGGACACGCTAAAAGGTTATTGATTCATTGATCGAATGACTAAACCATGAATCCATCTTCTATCAAATGTTTTCAGCAGCACAAAACGTGTAGTAATGTCTGTGTTCATAAGGAACGGCAACTGCAAACTGTCAGCGTCACTCTCGAAGCAAACCACGCCCATATTGTATTGCATAAATAATTTATGTCAGGGAGATTCGGTGTTCGCTGCACGACATGCACCACTCACCGCGTCAGCTTCTCGTTTGGCGATGTCCTTGATGGCGGGCACGTACAACACGCAGTGCGCCTCGGCATCGGACACGTCGGACGCCTTCACCAGGAGCACCGAGCTTACCGCGGGATTCGCACCGTGCACCGGGCACTGCGTTATAACGCGCAAACTGAGGCAAAAAAAAGGTCCCCGAGATACCTATAATCATTGCCTTATTAGTCCCTACAATAGCTTGGGGGCACGAGCGCCGCCCTGGTGTTTTTTTTTTCTTTTATGAACTATGGTAGAAGAGCTTAGTCTCACTGCCAAAGTGGATCTCAGAGGCCCTCCTACCATGTGTTGCAACTACCCAAGCTGATCAAAAAAAAAAAAGTCTGCCCTTCCAGAAAACTCATACCAATTTATTAATGTTCATGAATATTAGTGCGTCCTTATCTCTTAAAGGGCCACCCACCAGGCTCTCATAATACATCAAAAAAAGTGCATTATTCTTTACTGGTATATATTACTTCGCCGCGGTACTTGGCTGCTGACCCGCAGGTCGCGGGATCAATCCCGACTGTGGCAGGTGCATTTTCGATGGAGGCGAAGATGATAGGCCCATGTGCTTAGATTTAGGTGCACGTTAAAGGACCCCAGGTGGTCGAAATTTCTGGAGCCCTGCCCTACGCCAAGCTCTCATAATCATATTTTGGTTCTGTGGTGTTGAACCCCACATATCAATCAATCAACCTCTCGATATATCTCGTCCTTCTTGCGCACTTTTGTGATGCAGAAGGTAGTTCCCGTGACGTCTAAAGCGTACATACGCTTGAATGGTCCGTACAGGCGAAATGCCAAACGTGATTCCTCTTCAACACTGCTTTGCCATGTAGCCGACCATCCTTTTTTTCCTTGGCTCGCATAAATATCATGCATAATCAACCGATCACACTTCGTTTTGTGTGTTTACAACTGCGAAAGCGGTGATAACAGCGTGAAGCCAAGAAACGATAAATCCTGATAGGCTCTAGCGCTTAGTGCTGACATAATTCTCGTGCTATTAAGCACTAAGGGGCAAGGAGGACCCATGACGTGTATGAAAGAGAGGAGGAAATTACCTCCTTGTCTTTATACTCAGGGTAGTTAGTGGCCCTTTCAGTATGCAGACGCAGCGGCATCATATATGTCCTATTTTACTCTTGACTTTATTTATTTATTTATTTACAGTTATACCCACAGTGCCATTCAGGCATATCATTGGGGGGGGGGGGGGGCTGCACAAAAACTTTATATACATTACATTTTAAGAACAATGGCTGAGAAAGACAACAATCCCAATTAGAACCGAAATTACAATGAAAAAATAGTTGCATATATTGTTGTCAATGCACATGACATAAATATCATCTAACCTGCACGAGAAAAAAACATAATGAAGTATAGTGTACAAACATGGAAAATACAAAAATATGTGATAATAACTAAACATTAGGAATCACAACCTTCAGATGAAACGTAAAAATAAAAGAAATCATGCACATCTGCTTCATTCGTGAGAAAGACAACCACGAAGCAATTTCAGTGGAGCATAAGCATAAATATGTCGTAGGCATGTCTGCTTTCTGCATTCTCAGGATACTTTATGGAAATGGCGTCAGGATGACTGTTGGAATGTAGCATGGCGAAACCAGACCATACCTAAATACGATGCCGTAACAGATGGAAGAGAGTGCAGTGTACGAGAAACTTGGGAAACAATGATACATCACTACATTGCGTTTCTACGATAGCCACCAAAAAAGGAACGTTAGACAAGGCGGCAAGTAATAAGTATAAAAGCAGGGTGAAAACAGATTTGGCCAACCAGAATTATGCACGAAACCTAAAAACTGCAATGGGAATTAATTTCACTTCACGCCCTTTTCGACGACCCCACAACTATACCACAGCTGATAAAAGGGGGAACAGTGTAGCCATATTTATGACATCACCACTCTATAATTGGATGCAAAGCAGCTCAGGCTCATGCGCATCCGTTCAAGCAGCTCATGCGCGTTCGTTCCAACTTACTTCCTTCTTCGACACACCTCCTCTCTCGCCTCGCAACGCCGACGAAGGCAGCGCCGCTAGCCTACTACGCTCGCCTCCCTCTCTCTCTTCTAGGCATCCTTTCCTGCGACGTTAACACCCCCATTGCTCATGCGCGTCCCGTATCCTCTCATTTCTCCTATGCCCCCCTCTCTCATTTGACAACACCGACGCAGGTAGCGCCTGCTAGCGAATTTCTTGTTCGAAAATACCAGCTACTCGCATCGCACAGCACAACCGTTCTCTGGCCACCCCATATGTACAGGCACTGGATCTTCACCTTAAAGGTAGTGTCGGTGGAAGATTTCTCCTGTGCGTTGTTGAAAAATATTCGCAGCGTGCTCGCAAACTGAAAGCTGACTGAGGGTTCCTACAGGGTGAAGTCAGAGTCTTCTGTCTCTCAATGCCCATTAGCAGCGATTGGCATGTTCCAGGAGGAAACACAAGTTCATCACTGCATGCTTTCTGCCTCCCCAGGTTTCTCTTTTGCGCAACGCCTTGATGAGCTCCAGAGTCAACGTCGCCACCAGTGTAAGCGTTAGCGCCCGCTGCTAAGCATCCGCACATGGTTCTTCTTAGCGGCAGATGGCGTATTTTTTCATAGCAAAGCACACAATGCTGCTGTACCCCCATATGACAACCCTCAATGTTTGCAGTCATTAAGGAAATAGGGTCAAGCGCGGTCACTTTCACACTGAGGCTCTAGATTTAGGGTTAAATTACCTCTGTCATAGTTAACACGAGTCATAGTTACGCAGCAACGACGTTATATTTTTATAGCCGTAGCTCCACTCTTCGATTCCGTTACATGAACACCGTTACTTCGGAGAGGCCTACTCACGGCGGCAAACACAGCGATGAGCGCCTTGATGTAGACGAAGTTCAGCGCGCCTCTGGTCATCCTTCTTGCCTGTCAAGTGGAAGCTTGCACTAGGATGTCCAGGGAAGGCGAAATGGCGCGGCCGGTTTTGCAGAAAAGGTCCTTCTTCTTTGACGATGGCCCGAGAGAGCACTGTCACGCGCAGAACGTGATGACTGTGACGATACTGATGGTGATATCTCCAAACTAATTTCGCGTGCACGTCAAAGCGCAAGGCCATAAATAGGACGGTGCTGTTGAATAAATAACCAACCCTAATAAAAATAAAACAGAGAAGAGTGTAAATGAATATGAAAGGAAAGCTTATATTATTATTCCTCAAGCTGTAAATGTATTCCGATTACCTTTGCCCGGAAAGCCTAACCTAATATTATAATCATAGGTGAGCCATACCTGTATGCTTGGATATACCTATTCTTTTAAAGGATGGCGGCACTTTTTTCCTCGAAATTTCGTTTTTCTGGACTGCACTCACGAATGAGAAGTAGAAAGAAGCTATGTCAATGGTCCCCTAAAGAATTGTTCGGGGCTCTTACGCACTATTGGGGCGAAGCCTAACGAAACAGTGGAGCGTGTCACTTTGCTCTCCTCTTGCTGCGCTTCAGAACGCAGCAGGTGGCAATGATAGCACACATAGGAAAAATATTTGAGATTACGACAAAGGAGGAAGACAGAAAGAAGTACCGAAAAATTACCAATATGTTCGTGGTGGCTTCTGCAGTAAAAAAGGATAAGACGCAGGCGCCCACGGTGCGTCGCATAGCACAAGCCACGTGCACTGTTACCTAGGGTATTCAATATTAACGCACGCTCTACGAGAAAAGCAAAGTGGCCTAATATAGGGTGTTCAAGTGGCTCGCCGGAGCCAGGCGCACATCTGAACGGTCACATGCGAACGACGGTTGACATGTTGCTGTCGACATAAGTGTTCGGTATTATGCTTCAGCAATGGTCATCTAGCACGTCGACGTCGAGTTAAGCACAACGATTCACAGTTAAGCGCCACGATTCGAGCGCATGCTATAAAGAAATTATCCATTCGCAACACGCTGGTATGAATAGGAGTCTTGGAGAGGCGGTGTCAGGTCATCAGGTGCAAGCCTCGTCCAGACGTTAGTACACGTAGAATTTCCGGACATGCAGTCATGCTCATTGTAACCACACTTGGGAGACGAGTCTACCATTGGACAGGTAATACCCATCATCGAAGGTAACCTGAAGTACAATGTATTGTTATGTCAAAATTAAGATCGCCGGTCCTGGGCAGCCAGAGCCTGTACCACTATATCGCGTTATGAGCGCTTTCATACACCTGCATTTTTTTCCGGCTAGCCGATTGTTCTTTTGATTTTCGCCATCCCATACGAAGGTCCCAGGTTCGGCATCTTATACCAGGTTAACCACTGTCATTGAGGGGAACTGACTGGATTCCAAGAGAAGGCGAACGCGTGAGAGTGAGAAAGAAAGCTTGGTGGGCAGACGGGATTATAAAGACTGCTGGTGTAACGTGGCAGCAGAAAGCATAAGGCTGAGTTCATTGGCGCGGCGGGACATGAGAGAGGCTTTTGCCCTGTTGTGTGCGTATTAAGACTGATGATGATGGTCATAATTATGATGCAAATGTAGAGTTACGACAAACTTGAACACGCCTATTTTGTCGATAATGTTACATTAAAAAGGAGCAACAGCGTAAGACACCGCTGCACATTGTTTTGACTCGCTCGTTCAGTGTTTGTCACTATTGTCTTACACAGCTAATAATATAAACACACAATAATAATAATACCTAATACAATACAATACAATAATACACAATACAATAATAATAATAATACACAGCGATAATGTTACATAAAAAGGAGCAACAGCGTAAGACACTGCTGCACATTGTTTTCACTCGCTCGTTCAGTATTTGTCGCTATTGTCTTACACAGCTAATAATAACAATATTTCGCTATCATTTTGCAAGCTATTTCTTATTAAGCGCTACTATAATAGGGGAAGAGTACATGAGATGACGAGGAAGATTACCAGGCCTTAGAGCATCATTCTGTAAAAGTGCAGTGCGTTCCTGACAGTATTGTTTCTTATACTCTGTCCTCGAACAAAAAACTAGAACATTTGCCAAACAACGACTGACGTGAATAATCTAACCCCACTAATATGTTTTCCTTGTGAAAGTAAAGGTACCAATAGTAGACTCCTGTAGTGGCGGGTAAGGCAGCCTGCTAATGCACCGGATGGACTCCACCAACTTCACAAACGACGGCCCGACACGCAAGCACAAAATGACAACGACGGCAATCGACCACAGCTGAGCGATTAAACAATGACGCGATCTGAATAATGACTGACTTTGGGAAGCGGATAATGCGGGTACGTGCCTGGCAAAAAGGGTTTGCCCCAGGACTCGATCGAAGCTCAGCTGCAGCGACAGACAGTATTGCTTAGAAAAACACTATTATCAGCAACGGCCGTGGTTTTGTCGACAGCTAGATGCTGAAGTTTTGTTCAGGCGCAGTGTGCGGTCGGAAATTTAGGCTCATACAGCTAGCCCAAATCTCTCAGCCTTCGCCTTCGCCCAAGAAGCAAGTATTTATTTATATTAGGCCCGCCGCCAGGCAGCAGAGAAAGGGGTTAAGAGCCCGGGCCTTTTCCCCCTCTCCCAAAATTTGTATGAAATTGGGTGTTTTATCAAAAACAAATACTGAAAAAAACAGGTGATTTTCAAGGCTTTCAACAAGTACCCCCCCCCCCCCCCCCCCCGAAAAAGTGTGTAGCTGCGGGCCTGCTTTAACTACCCAGGACCATACATTTGTTTCTCCCGTTTGTGCTTGCGATGTCTATGGAGAGCCCAAGGAAACATTTTTTTATTCATTAAGGGCATTATCAGCATAAAGGATAATATCCGTGGCTTCTTCAGCCTTGATTTTATGCAGTATACGCCTCCCTTTTGTTTTGAAACATGAAAGGTAACCTGAATTCATTTCCATCTTTCGTAAACTGACTGCAAGTAAGAAGTGAGAAAAACAGCATTCGCAAATAGGGGAGCAGCCGGTCGATTTTAGAGGGCAGATGCTAGGCACCAGTTCCTGTTGAATGCTGTGAAACAACCAAACAAACAAACAAACCCACGGACAGAACAGTAAGAGGCATAGAAGTGTGGCAGCTTGGGCTAGTTGGTATGGCATGACGATAGTTATAGCGCGAGAACAAAATGACGACACGGAGACAAGAAGGACACGAAAGACACGAGCGCTAACTTCCAACTGAGTTTATTGCGCAGAGCACGAAAATATATAGAGGAGACAGTGACCATGTGATAAAAACCACATGGCACAAAGAGCAGAACATGAGTAAGAAAACCAAAAACAAACAACACAAAAACAAAGGCACTGAAAAACAGCAAAAAAAAACCTAGAAGAAAACGAAACAGAAAGGTAAAGATAAAATAACTACCTGCCCGCACCGAAACCTTCGAGGAACCTGCGTTCCTTCTCGGACAAAGCCACGGAGGGCTTGCTAATACGAGGCACCTGTTCGCGTGCCATCTGCGCGGCCTCGACAATGACCCGGGTGCTTTCATCTCTGTGTTTGTCCAGCGTCCAGTACGAGAATTTTAACTGGCGTTGCTTGTGTTCTTATTCTGTCCAATAATAATAATAATAATAGTAATAATAATAATAATAATAATAATAATAATAATAATAATAATAATAATAATAATAATAATAATAATAATAATAATAATAATAATAATAATGGTAATAATAATAATAATAATAATAATAATATTATTATTATTATTATTATTATTATTATTATTATTATTATTATTATTATTATTATTATTATTATTATTATTATTATTATTATTATTAAAACGTTGTAAATCCACAATCATCTGCAATGATTGGTTCCCATATACATGTCTCTCTCAAAGTTTCCATCAATGCATCACCTGCACAAATCACGGGTACAGGCGCGCTCACATTTCGCATTTAGGGAGTAACGTACTAGCCGGTACTACAACTGATGAATGAACGCTAATAAACCGCACATATTTCTTAATACAACGGCCTTTCTTCCCCTTGCTTGTTTTCCAACTGGTATTAATATAGCGCAAATTCGGCTCGCTGGTTCTTAATTCTGAGACACCAGCGCGAGATCCACATGGACGGAACAAAGAACGACAAGTACGAGAGCTCAACTTGCAACGACATTGATAAGAAAAATAATCACAATTATTTATCCTATCTAACACAGACGCCGTAAAGTCGACTCCCGTATAAGTACACTATATTTTTTATCTGAAAGTTGTGTGTTTTGGCTCGCTCACACACACCCGTCCAGTGACGGTCTTGGTTGTTTTGTCCTTGCGCGGCAGTACCTCGAAACTTGTCGGGTGATACAGATTATAAATCGCTATAAAGGTCTCTGTTAAGAAGACGCACAAAAATTATTAACTACCGTTATTTGAAGCTCATGTACATCAAACGCACATGTTTCAATAATTTCAATAAAATGCCAAGTTATAACTGAATAATTCATCCCCATCATCACCCTCAACATCAGTGTGGTATCACCTACTCCCACACCGATATTACTCCAATCTACCAGACCGTGTAGTTGCTGCAGCCACGTTATACCTTTGAACTTCGTAACCCCATCTGCCCACTTAGACCTTGCGCGTAGAGTGAAGCGCCATGTAATGCTTATATATCAAACCAATCAATCAATTCATCAATCATTTAGGTTAATTTGGGCATAATACTGGTGCTAAAAAATGTGGACAAAAAACAAGACTTGACGTGCTGCGCAGGCTTGTTTTACAGGCAGCAAAGTATCAAGAAAGCTATTTGCCAAAATATACATAAATATCCGCATCATAACAGTGAAACTTCTACGATGATAACTATGACAAAATATTAGGAAGAATGAGAAATGTGACAAACATAATGAGGTGTTTTCAGTGATTCAGCTTGTCATTATTACATTACAGAAAGCTTTAAAGCAGGCAA